TGCACTGGAATACAGGATAGTGGAACATTATAATGAGCTATTTGGTCTCTGTACAACTGTACTGACAGGTTGGACAACATTGCAGATAATAAGTCAGACTTCTTCCTTTTGCACCTCTCCCAGATTGACTCATATATACAAATATTTAAAGAATTTGTAGGTTGGATAGTGTCGAGTTTGGTGGTCTCAGGTGCAAAACACCCTCAGATCCTGGGTATCAAGCACGACCTCAAAGTCTGAAGCAATATTTCTCCTTAGTTCAAGTACCTTCTTGCCTTGTTCACGATCGAAGAAAGAATGGAGTGGGACGCTGACAGATTGAATCGTGCAGTAATGCAGCTGTACAAGCGTGGTGAGGGAAAGAGACATTACCATGAAAACAAAGCTGTCGATTTACAGGTAGAGCTACATTCTTACCCTCATCTATGGCCATGAACTGTGGAGAGTGAGCGAAAAATTGACGTCACAAATATGAGAAGGCGTTTGCTTTAAAGGGTGTATAAAGTTTAAATAAACTTTGGAACTACAACGTGCAATTAAATTAAATTAAATAAAAAAGCTCTGCCATATATTCCAACTTCTACAAAGCTCATTCATTTTAGTTTTACTGGAAAAACACGAAAGGTTCTACTTCAAGTTCCTAAGTGTTCCTAATATTTTGTCCATCCGACTCTCAATGATGAGGAAACTATGCATTTGCAAAGAACCCTAAAACTTCCTGCATTTTCTTCAGTATGTTCTTCATTATGAATTCCCTACTATCGCTCATCTCCATTTCTGCTTTTCAAAAACGTTTGCAGTCCTACCCTCTTCTCTGAGAGTAGGTTTTAGAGTTGTAGATGAACTGTGCGCTCCTCTTCTCAGCCTTGTAAATAATTAGAATTCCCTGGCTGTCTGCAGTGCCTGGACACTTCCATAATTACATTGTCAGTGCAGGGGCTGATTAAGGCTGGTCTGTGAAGTATGGTATTAGCTGAACTGCATCTGCATGTAGAATAGAATAGATGACCCTTTACTACCTTCAGCTCATTCTAACATCGGCTACTGGGAGCTGGATGATGGTGGATTGTGTTACTGATGGTGATGATTACACTAAAATCCTTATTTAGGTATAGATTAGTCTGAGATGTGTTCTAGGAGATATTTTCTAGAGCGTTTGGTAAATTCTCTTAAGTATAAGATTGAAATCACCACCTCATATTTGTGCCACTGGTGTAACTGTGTCTTTTTGCAGACAAGATGAGTGTGAAATCTTGATATTTTGGTACTTTGATGCCTTCTGGTTTTAACATTTAACATTTTTACAAAGTATGATTGCTTCACAGATGACTTCTGACTATGGAATATTTGCTCATCATGGCATCTGTATAAGGGCGGCCTAGTTGATTGGCTAATAGACATCTTCTTGGCTTCACCTCAGCTGAATTGAGCTACTGAATTGGAACTTTCAAATACTCAACTTTCTGTATTTTTGAGCATTTTATAATGCAATTACCTACCTATTAAAGTTTGCTCTCCAGCTTTGGTGTTCTAGTATTTGTACCATACTTAACACTAAATAAGTAACGTACAAATATACCTGCTTTGTATTGGTACAAAGTAGACAACTGTGCTTTGTACCTATATAGTCTGAGGACAAACTTGCTAACCAAGCTAACACTTCATCAAGGCTTTAAATCATTATTTAACAGTCAAATGGATACATCCAGCTACGTCCACGTTTTCTATAGTGTCGACAATCAGGACTCAGACAAAATCACTATTCCTTCAAGACCTTTCACTCACCCTCCATGACCCCATCCGTAAAGCTGAGATGCATAAAAATGATCATCTCGATTGCAGTGATGATGATAAGGTATTGATGGATATTTACCTCTGACCACACTCGCTGATTTATCACTGCTTGGCGAGTGTTTGATGGCTTACTGTATCATACATCTTTTCTGGGTAAAGCTCCACTGCAGGCAAGTCTGGGAAGAAGACTCTCCCTCCCCTCCCTGCCTGCCTTTCCCCTGACCTTGCAGCTTTATGACTGCAGTAATGCGCTGCAGATGAAGAGAGGAGCAAATCCACCGGAGATAATAGACAAATCATCTCCACGAGGTGGTGGAATAAAAATCCCCAGACAAACAGACAGCCTGTGTGCTCTTGGACACCCCTTTAAGGAACTCTAGTGTTGATAAGTAATTATCCCTGCCCAAAGGCATGATGGGATTCACAGCAAGAGAAAACATTTGTATGATATGTTTGCAGTATTGGGCATAAAGTAAATCTTTAAAGAAC